CTGAGCCGTGGGGACCTGGTGCGGCCCCACAACTCCTCTGCCACGGGGGCCACTGGCCGCTTCAAGGTGAGCAGGGGGCTGCTGGCCCCGAAGTGGTGGGGCTGGGGACTGAGGTGCCGCCTGGCCCCACTTCCACCCTTCTCGCCCCCAGTTAGCCCCAGAGAAGCTGCGGCACAAGCTGGGCCGGGCAGATCCTGATGGAGGGCAGGCACCGAAGCTGGGACCAAAAGGGACCACCAAGCCCCCCCGGGTCCCCCCGGCGGGTGTGCGACAGCGAGGTAAAGGGCTGGTGGTGATGTGAGCCACCTCGGGCTGCCCTGGCCCTGTGGAGAGGCCCCTGCTTGGGCTCATCCACTGCCCTTTCTCCCACAGGTGCTGCGGAGGAGAAGCCGACAACAGCGAAGCAGAAGCCAAGGGCAAAGCCCGTGGATGTGAGTAGGGCCCAGCGCTGACACTGGGTGGCTCATGGCATGGCAGCAGCCTGAGGTGCTCTCTCCCCTCCAGGCCCGGCTGCCAGCAGCAGTGAAGCCCAGGAACGATGGAGCGAAGCCCCCACGAGCTGCTGGCCGCCCCCGGGCCCCTGGCAAAGGGCGTTCAGGGTCCTCCACGGCACCGGCTGCTGAGGATGCAGGAGGGGGCGATGGTGACAACCCTGTGGGTGCTGGGGCAAAGGGACCCCGAAAGGCCCCCATGGGAAAGAGCAAGGGGAAGGCGCCCAAGGGGGCACAGCAAGATGCCCCCAAGGCAAAAGGGGGTCAAGGCAAGGCGAGGAAGCCCAAGGTGACCCCAGGAGCCGGCCAGGGGGAAGCTAGGCCACGGAATGCAGCCCTTGCCCCAACAGGCAGGAAGGCCTTGTAGGGGGTCCTGGCCAGCCCTGCTCCCATCTGGGCCCTGGCCCTCTGGCTCTGGGTTGGTTTTAGTCCCCAGGACAGGTTTTAACTCTGTGTTCACCTCCTGCTAATAAAGCTTCTTCACTCACCTCATGAATGGTGTGACTGCTGCCCTGCTCATGGGTCTCTGCCCCTGTGCTCCCATCTCCCAGCATCAAAATCCTGCAGCCCTGCCCTTGTCCTGCGTGGCACGGCAGTGAGCTGGTGCTGCTGCCTGCTGTGCCTGCTCTTGTGTCCCCACGTGTACCCAGCTGCAGGCTGCAGTGACACAGCTGGCTGGCCAGCAGTGCCGGTGGGGGTGCTGGGGTTGGGGGGCTGTGTGTGTGCAGGCTGGTGGTGAGCCCCAGTGCTGGGTGATGGCTGATGGCCTGGGCAGGGCCCTGGGACCCATGGGGCAGAGCACGGTGGCACCCCTGGGCACTGCGAAGCTC